CATAGACAACTAATCAGTAGAGAATGTCCTCATATAGTGGTCATTGTGATGCATATCACTGTGCTCTATGGCCTATTTGGCCATCACATAGGCTAGCAGGAGTCATGTCAGAGAGGCTAGGCTTTGACATGAAAGAAACCTGGGAGAAGTTGAATTTCAACACCATCTCTGAGGTGCTAAAGAAAGAGACAATGATTTTGGCTTGTCTTTAATGCCACTTGGGTCAATGTCTTCATTCAGCCTCAACTCTAACAATATGGTGTCACTGCTGAAGGTGAATTCAATAGTCTGTTGCAGAGCTTACTTGGCATGTTTCGAACTAAAAGACATCTATCTACATTTGGAATGATAAAGGGACACTCTGGGTGCAAAATACCCAACAGTCTTCACTTTTACATGCTGAACTTCCCACCTCTGACCATTTGGTACTGGTGCTGTAAGGTACTCTGGGCTCTTGTACTCTCAGCCTGCCTCAAAATGAATTGGAGAACCTACTAAGATCTTAAATTCATGCAACAAAGGAATGTCTATTGAGTGAAAACAACTCTACTATGCTGGTGAGTGGGAAGGAGTCAATGATCATCCATGCTCCTGATGATTTAAAATCCTAAAACTCTCATATATTTGTGTCTGGCATGTGAATAGTGTTGCCCAGACATCTTTTTAATATCAGGGAACCTTAGGTAGTTTATCAGGCCTCCTGAAAGGATTCTGAAATACCCTTTACCTTTACAAAAGTGTGTTGCATCCATCTCTCTGAATCTATCTTGTAGGGAGAAAAAAATCAATGGGCTGATACATTGAACCTCCAGTTGCTGATAGTCCTGGACCAGTGAGCGCTGGATCACTGTCTCTTCCACAACTTCTCAAGTATGAGGCATGGTCATCAGCATCATTTCTGTTTCTTCAACCACAGGATAAGCATACAATTTCATACCACAGGTGATGCATTATTCATTGACTCTTCCTATTTCTATATGCCTCATATATCTATTCACTCACTATTTTTTCCTGTTTTTCTCCCTCTCATTCATTCAATCTCCTTATTCATTCATTCTCTCTATCTTCTCATCCTCCCTCTCCCTCTCACTCTCTCCCTCTCTTCCTCCCCCCTCTCTCTCTCTCCCTCCCTCCCTCTCCATCTCCCTCTCCCTCTCTCTCTCATTAATTTATTCTTTCAATTTCCTATTTTCTTTGTCTTTGTAAAATATAGGCATTTATGGCTTCTATGCCTACTGTTGAATCACCAAAATTTTCATATGGCTTCTATGCCTACTGTTGGATCACCAAAATTGTCAAAGTCAAACTGATGGGATTCCATTTAAACTTGCTCTGCTGTATATCACCTGTTTCTATATTATCACAAAACAATAAAACTTGAGTAAACATCCCATTATGTGACATAGTTCAATGTCAAGGCTTCCATTTTTATGGGCTCATGTTACCTATCCATGAACCTATATAATTATTTTTTTACCCCTAATGTGTCTCCTGTCTTGCAACCGAACTTTTGTCTAAAAAGATGAACAACTAAGGGAAAGGGAGCAAGCAAACACCTACACCTGAAATATAATCTTTAAAAATAAATAAATAAATGGCTTTACCTCTGACATCCTGAAGCAGAGCTGGGCTGATGTTGATATATTAATTACAGCTACATCATTTCCAGACAACAGTGGTAGAACTGAACACTGAAGATCACCTAAAACAGATAAAATAATATAATATGCACTAAAACCAATATAGTGGAAAATCTAAGTATGAAATGCTTCCCAGAATATACAGCAAAACTTATGACAATATATTTTTACTTCACCATAAACAAATGCTATAATGAGACATATATGGAGGGGAATAGAAAAATTCAACAGAAAGACATCCCAATGGTTGTGAAATAGTTAAAGTAATGTGGTCTTTTATATTTCCTGTGCAATGATACTGCCACATATTAATTTTGCCTTTCTGCTATGTTGATAAAGAATTGCTGAAGGCTGACTGCTTAGAATATTGCATCATCCAAAGTATAGGGCTATGTATCCTCCTGTACTTAAACTTAGGTTTAACTAATTTCTTTGGTAGCTTAACATCTATGCTATTCACTACAAAACTTGGTACCAAATTCATGGCACATGGAAGAGGGATATTAAAGTATGACATTCCCTAGACAAGGAAGAATATGCTATTTGAATAAGTGCTAAAATCCCCCTGTTAAGAAAAATGCATGTGAAGTTTCTTAATCAGTGGACTAGACCTATTTACTGGTATGCAGAAGAATAGTATAAACATACTGCGGTGCACTGTGGAAGTGACTAAATAGAAATTAGATGCCTGGTTAAATTTGATACCAGATGAAACACCAACAAATGGTAGTGAACAAATGAGGGCTGACTTAAATTCTACCCCTCATCAATTTCAGTTTCAGCAACTGAAACAGCCAGCTAGACCTCAGGAATGGTCTTAGGATGAGCCACTAGTAGGGTTCTTGCTAGAACTTAACCAA